TTTAAATCTATAAAGTTTAAATTTTATTAAGAAAAAAATAAGGGAGTTTAATTTTATTTTTATTAAATTATGTGTTTTTTTTGTAATTTTTTCTTAGGCTTGTTTTTGTAATTTTTTTTAACATTTTTGACAAATGTTTATCAAAAAACTGATCGAAGTAACTTATGAAAAAACGCACGTTTTGGCCCATAATTAATTTTTAATATTTTTTAACTGTTTAGATAAATTGATAGAAAAAATTAATTTTGAATCCAAAACGTGCGTTTTCTCCTCATCCAAACAGGCACTCAATCTCAGTTCTATCCAAGTCGTACAATTCAGCGTTTTTGGTTGCATTCAGTATTCATAAAGTATTAATAATTAATACTGTCGCAAACAAAAGTGTTAATTAATACAATATTATAAGAATCATTTTCTAAGAAAAATAATGCCATTTTTGTTGGCAAATTGTCACATGTGTTACGGGTCAATACATACAGGTTGACTTTTAATTCATCATATCTAACTGTCTCTTTAAGTATAGCATTTAATTTAATTTTTATTAAAAGTATAATTTATTTTTAATACTAATTCAATTGCGTTTATTTCATGTTTAAAATTACAAATTTAGTTTGTTTTAGTAAGTGCTATACAAATTAAATATTTAAATATTAGTGAAAATATAGATAATGAAAAATTAGAAAAATGAAGATTTTTTTGCTCAAAAAAATTGGCAACAAAATTTTAATATAAGTCTTAACGTAGTAATTCCAAAATCATTTGCAAATATAGTAACGAATTGACGTATTTAAAATTCTTTCATACTTTCATTTTCATAGGATATAAGATTAGTCCTCATCAATCTTATCAACTTGGACTGAACTTGAATGGCAAAAATAAAAACCCCAAGTCCATTAAAATGTGAAAAATATGGAGAAAAAAATATCACTTATTTGTTTAGATATTATAAAAAATAAGTTTAGGGATTTATTTGATGAAAATATGAGTTATAAACAGCTTTAATTATATTTTCTTATTTCCGTTAGTTACAATAAAATGTTCCCACATTAGTTTTATCATAGATATAAGTATCACTCATTATATTTAACTAAATCGTGATGTAGTGAGAAAAAGGCTCAAGTGTAAAGATTTAATCGAGTAATTTAGTGTAATGCACAAATGAATCTAAGTATTCTGACTTCAAATTTTCAATCAATAATAAGTGATGTGCATGTAAATGTGTGTTCTTGGTGAGTAATTACAATCAACTTTTAATTTTATACCCTCTCTCTCTCTCCTTGCGAGATATTTTTTTCTAAATAATCTTAATTTAAAATACTTAGTCAGTTTAATTTTTTTTCTTCAATTTATTTTTGTATTAATTAATGTGAGTATGGGACATAATCTAATTTTTTTTGGGAGAATTTTGTTAAAGGACTAATAATGTGACTTATTTACGAAACAAATACAAAATAATCCAAAATATCACTACAGGATTTTAGGTCTGAATTGAAATTAAATTACAAAGCAAAATGACTAAAATATCATTTAAAGACACATAATGGACTTGATAAGTAATGGTAGGGGATTAACAAGTAATATTATACGTTTAACAACTCAATTACATTGTTTAAAATAGTATATTGACAAAAAATATTTATTATATGTTGGATGTGAACAAGTAACATAGTAGACTTAACAAGTAATAATAAGGAATTAACAGTAATATTATGCGTCAAACAAGTCAAACATTATTTTTACGAGCAACATAATGGATTTAATAAATAACAATAAGGAATTAACAAATAATATTATTAATTGAATATTTTACATGATAGTAAATCTTTACCTATCAAGTTACTTTTTTAAGTAATAATGGACTTGTTAGACATATAATATTACCTGTTAATCTCTTATCGTTATTGTGAAACCCATTATATGTCTTGTTTAGTATTTCAACTTAATTAGATTTTATATTCATGTGATGCGCAGAAAAGTTAAAATAAAAATATTAAAAATCAAATTAAAATATGCATTTAGTTCTTTTACTTTATATGAAATTTTATTTTAATCTCTTAATTTTATAAAATATTTTTTTAGTCTTTTAACTCTAACACTGTTGGTTTTTTTTAAAAAATTTTTACATTATATTTTTAAATATTAAAAAAATATTTTTAAATATTGATATATTAAATTTAATTTTTTAAAATAATAATTATTAGTTCAAAAAATTTGAAACTAACGATTTAAGGTTGAAGGATTAAAAATATACTTTATAAAATTAAAAGATTAAATTAAAATCTTATATCATAAAGTTAGATGACTAAAACTACACTTTAGCCTAAAAATTAATAGAAGATGAATATTGAATAAATATTAAAGTTTATAATTATAGACAAAATAGCATTTAGAAGGCATAAAATAGTATTTAGAAGGCACAAAATAAACCTTATACTATCTTTTTTTTATTTCTTGTTTCTGCAATGAGGCTGATTTCGGTCTGTAGCAAATAGAAATAAATAACAATTTTATATAACAATGTAAACGATTAATTATTTTATTTTAAAATTTTCATTTTTTGTTAAAATATAGAGAATAATTTGTTATTTTATGATGTATTGTTATCACATATTTTTTCTAAAATATTTCACCTGTACAAATTAACATATAGATATAAACTCGTTAAAAATATTTTTTAAAATTTATCATATTCAATAGATACAATATAATAGATTTTAATTTTATTTTAAAACATGTTTCATAAACTTCCCTTTTTCTAATAATTACTTTAAATATAAAAATTAAATGTTGGGGGTGGAGCACTGTAGAACTAGCGTGCTCCGCTACCGCTTTTACAATATATGAAAAAAATTTGTTAAAATATATAGAATAATTTGTTTTTATATGATATATTGTTATCACATATTTTTTCTATAATATTTCACTTGTACAGAATAACATATAGATACTAACTTGTTAAAAATATTTTTTAAAATTTATCATATTCAATTACAATAAAATAGATTTTAATTTTATTTTAAAACATGTTTCATAAACTTTCCTTTTTCTAATAATTTTTTTTGTGCTCCGGTACCGCTTTTACAATATATGAAAAATTAAAGAAGAATATTTTAATCATTTTATTTTTTAGTTTAATTTAAATTCAAACATCAAATCTTGTATATTTTAAATTATTTTGGATTTGACTTGTAAGTAGGTTCTACCAATGATCCTTGGATGAAATTCTGTCTTTATCATTATTATTATTATTTGCCAAGAAGACACGTAATCAAACTAAACGACTATTTTTATTTTTCATAATAAAAGAGCTACAAAAAGAGAAAAGACCAAAGACATGATATTTTTTAATAAAAATAAAGAAATAATTGTTTTTATTGATATATCTCAATTTATAAAATATTTTTTGATAAAATTATGCCTGCTAATAAAATTTATTAAATATACCTTACAATTTTATTGTTTAAATATAAATATAAATATTTTAAAAATACCTTTTATTTAATATAATTTTATTTGTAAAATACTAAGATAAAAAGAGTAATATTGAAAGTATAATTATTAAAATCTTATTTGTTTCTGTCCAAGTTTTTCTTGTAAATTGGGCGGGGGAGTATGGATTAGGATTTAGCGTTGTATGAAAAACCAAACTAGATTGGATTAACTCAAAAATTGGTGAATTGGCTTCTTCATTGGTTCGATTTTCCTTCTAACCTAGTTAGCTTGTGATTCTATATAACTCGATTAACTCGGGGTTAACTTGGTGTAAACGGAATAATCTATCGGGTTAGCTAGGTTAATTAGATCATTTTTTTTTTGCCATCAGATTTTTTTAAAAAAATATGCAAAAAAATCAAAAACTGAATAATCCATTGGGTTAGCTAGGTTAATTAGATCATTTACTTTTGCTATCAGATTTTTTTAAAAAAAAATATGTAAAAAAAACCAAAAAAGTGTCAGCTTAGCTAAAATTTGAAAAGCTTCAAAACAACGGCAAGAAAAACTAAAGAAATGAATAAAAAGAAGGGTGGTGAAGAAGAAGAAGATGGTGGCAGAGGAGATATGTTGCTTCATTCCAACTATGCTTGAAACGAGATGACAACCCAGATGAAGAGCAGGAGACCACTGGGAGAGACCGAGTGGATTTGGAACAAATTAAAGAGAGGCGATCTAGAATGTCTAGATTGGGAACACCAAACAACTAAGTAGGTCTGGAACACTGAAGAACATAACGCAGATTTGGAACACCACACAACTAAGCTGCCATCGAAAAATGATAAAGCAAAATAGAGAAGCAAAGTGAAGCTATGCCCGCAAAAAAGAGAGACAGGGTAGAAGGAAATAATGGTTATAATTTCATTACTTTTTATTTAAAATAAATGATAGTAGACTTGTCATTCTTGCTGACACCTCTGGCTTTTCATCAAAGTTGATTACTGCTGCACGTTCTCTTTCCCAAGTTTTCAAGCCATTTTGAAAATGCATTTCAGTAAAAATTACTCATTTTAACTTACATTGTTAATGGATATTTTATAAATTTCATCTTATAAAATATTATATTAATATTTTACGAAAACGAAAAAATATTTTATACAATATTTTGAGGATTAGTGTTTTTTATTTAAATATTTTCCATGGTCAAATAAAAATATTTAAATATATTTTAATTAATTTTATTATTTTAATCATGTTTGACTCTAATCTAACCCTTGTTGAATCACTATCTTAATCGATTTAATAATCGATCTAGTTTTTAATACTTTAAGATTTAGATTTAATGAACCATATAATTAGCATCACATACACAATAACAATAATTTCATTTAATTAAATTGTTATAAAAAATTTTGTCATAAAAATATTAATAAAAGGAACCATACAAATGAAAATTTTGAAGATTGCTTAAATTTTTAGAAAAAGATGGATTTTGATAATTTTCAAAGTAAATATAAAATTCAACACACTCATTAAATAGATCAACTCAAGTCATTCTCCGAATTCACTTCGTTACGGCCATGGTTGAAAGTGTTATCCTTTTCTTTGCCTGCATTTACGCAATCGGATTCTTGGATTCTGGATGCAAATACCATAAATAGTACAAGTAGCCAGCGATACAGCCGACACGCGGATGCACGCGCGGCCACCACCTTGCAATGCCTTCCTTCTGGCTTTTGTTTTCCTCTGCCTGATGAAGGAGGAGGAGGTGACACATGCTCACACTGTCACACACAGCCTCGGTTTAGCTTTAACGTTGCGTTGACGATCCGTTTGTGGGCGCATGAGCCTTAGCGCGACGCCCAGCAATTTCACCACTGTCTGATCTGAGCATTACAGGACAAGACAACCGGCACATGTCTGTGGATTGCTATATTGTATAACCCTTTTCAGTCAGTATATGATTCGGATTCAAGAGTTTCATATTAAACACCAAACACTCTGAAACAAGAATCTTGTTGCGTGTCCGAGCTAAAAGATCTGCTATCAAGCAGCCAGCGTTTTTTCGGGCATTCTGGTTCCTTTGCCCGCGTTTTCTGGTTCCTGAATCTTTTTAATTCCGAAGTAAACCTACTACTGGAATTGGAATTCGCTTCGAGGGTGTACTTCTTTGCGCTAAGTTTTTATGCTTGTGGTCTGTTGCTTTTGTAAATGCGCGTCGGTTCTTTGGATGATTTTTGTGTGCCATTTGTGCTTTTGAAGTACGGGTCTTAATATATGCGCCTTTTGCCTTTCTGGTTTGGATATTTTCAGTGACGAGATTGTCTGGGTGGCTTCATTTTAGGATAAGGATCATGATTTGTAAGACTTGGTGATTCTGCTTATGGCTAGTGATTTATAAAGGGAGAATTATGGCTGGGGAGATTGAAGAAACGTTTAGCATTGACTTTCAGGTTATTTTTTTTCCCACTCTCCTATGATCTAATAATGGATCGCTTTATGGCTTTTCCTTATGCCAGTACAATCATGAGTTTCTTTCGTCTTCTTTCAACTTTTGTTTGCTTTATCGAGCGACAACTTTTTTCAATAATCAATTTAATCCATAAACAGAGTGGGAAGAACTGAATATTTTAAGGTTTTAAAAGACGCCACCGACGTCTTTTTCCTTTCTCGGTGATTGGCTAATTACTGTTTTCATTTGCTGTGAATAAAATTGGTTAATGATTATTTGTTGCTAGATGATAATTTTATCGTGTTCTCTGTCAGCTGCGGAGTGGAACTGATCTGAACTATTAATTCATATAATAGTTTGTCAAAATAGAATGATAGTGATTGACTGCTGTGGATTGGCATACTAATTTACCCTGATGGGGCTTAATCTAACATGAGTAATTTTTTTTTTTATGGGGTTCATATTTAGTGACAGTATCTCGCCAAAGCATTTATTTTGGTAATCTAGCGGACCACCTCAAAGTATTATTTTACCATATAGAGTTCTGCTCTGGTAATGTTGAAATGGTACAATGGAAACTGTTAAATGTACAAGTGTCTGTAGAAGGAAATTTGCGAAATTGTAAAACGTGGACTTGCAGTCTTTTTTTACATAAAATGGTGCTGCAATTATTTTTTCTTTCACATCATTTTTTCTTGGGCCAAATTATTGTGTTTATCTTGTCCCCCTTCCATTTCACAGAATTTACTATGAGAATTGTCTCAATTGTGTTGTGTTAATATCTGTTTCTGGTTGCTGGTGCTCTGCTTCATTGCAAATGATGCAGGGAGATTCGATACATTCCGGCTCCATCTCATTTGGAAGATTTGAAAATGAACCTTTATCTTGGGAAAGAAGATCCTCTTTCTCTCACAATAGGTACTTGGAAGAAGTTGAGAAATGTTCAAAACCAGGTTCAGTTATTGAGAAGAAAGCATATTTTGAAGCTCATTTCAAGAAGAAGGGCCTTTTAGGTTTTAATATACCTGTAAATCATGATGGATCTGATCAAACAACTGGTGAAAATGACGGTTCAGAGAGAATTAGCGACCTAGGGGATTTTGAGTCAAATGAAAATGGTCAGGGTGTTCAGTTTGATCAAAGATCCCAAGAGGATTTTGAACCGATTGTAGACGGCCAATATATTCAATTTGATCAAAGATCATTGGAAGATTTTGAGCCAATTGTGGATGGCCATTATGGTCAATATGAACACAGATCTTTTGAAGATTTTGGGCCAGATGAAAATGACAATCATATTCAATTTGATGAAGGACCTGCTGGTTCAGATTATAATGGAGAGTATGGAGTGACTGGATATGAAGTGGAAGGTCTGGTCACAGAAGGGCCAAAAGGTTCATCTTCTAACCTGCATATGGAATTCGCTGTAAATAACTGTAATGTTTTGGAGGATGCTATTGATAATAACAGAATTTTGGATGAAGCTCCTAAACCTGAAAATGAGACAAGTAGCACAATCTCTGTTGATGACACGATGGTTGTAGCAGTGAAAAAGGACCATGGTGGTACTGCCAATAATGATGAATCATTAAGAATTATGAGTGTGACTGAACCAGCTAGAGGTGTTGAGCAAACAGCTCTCAATGATCCTCCAAGTCCCTTTCCAAAGGTATGCTTCTCCTCAGTGATGTTTCTTTTTTTTAAACATGGGAAGATAAAAAGTGGGAAGTCCAGAAAGGAAATAGTATAGTTAAAACATTATCAAATACTGTTTTCTTAAATATGGAGCTATTTCTGTAGGTGTTTTCTTATGCATTGTTCATATTCTGCAACATTTAAATATACTTCATGTAATATGTTGTCCTATGATTTTGTGGACGGACTCATGGGAAACAAAGCCTGAGCCTGGGTTGAGCTCCGTAGTCAACCGTGTTCAAGTCTGGAAAAACAGTTCAGCAGGATCACCTAAGGGCTTGGCAAGAAATTCTAGTAGAGAGAGTCCAAGGAAAACCAATGTGGAAAAGAATTCATCAAAACTTGCAACGCCAAGGACTCATTCACTAGGCAGAACTCCAAAAGAAGTAAGGATTTAATGGCAGCAGTGTATTTCTAGAAGAATGGAAGATTAATGAGTTGATAATTATTTGTCTCAGTGTACATTTTCAAATTATGTTGATTATTAATGGCCTTTATGCATCATTAATGAAAATGCAGTAACAGCATGCATGGGTTTCTGTATGCAGGTTTCTAAAAGTGAGAAAAAAGTAATTTGTGAGAGGAAAAGGTAGTTGCTGTTTCTTAGATCTAAAAACATTATATATTTCACACATTGAGACCTCATACGTGTTTTTTCTTTTTTGGGGGTAGTGAAAAAGTTCTGGAAATAAACAAGGCTGCAGAATCTCAACCTTTTGTTTTAAAAGCTAATTCCAGACGGATCCAAGAAGCCAAAAGGTTTGTAGACTTATATCAAGGATGAATCTTTTCTTTCCCTTCTGATATGAACTAGCATGGTACTGTTGTTTAGGGTGAACCCAACTGTCAATTCAAGTTCAAGAAACTCTGAGGGTAGGCCAAGGGCTGCAGCTTTCAACTTTAAAAGTAGTGAACGAGCAGAAAGGAGGAAAGAGGCAAGCATAGTGCCGTCACTTCAAAATCTTATTACGTTGATGTTTAAAATTAGGGTTGATGATTGTTTGGTTTGTTTTCATGCCCCCGCTCAGTTCTACATGAAGTTGGAAGAAAAAATGCATGCAAAAGAAGCAGAGATGAATCAAATGCAAGCAATGTCAAAGGTAGTGTAAAATAGTGAGTAATAATAGCTTCTGTTTCTGTAAGGAGAAATATATAGCAGGTTATGTGGCAGATGGTTCCTAAATGCTTGTAGTATATTGTTTTCTAGCTTATGGAACTTCAAATTCGAAATGAGTCTATTTTTTTTTGTCCTATTCTTATGGGAGGAGGGAAAGACACATCAATGTGTTTGACGAGGAAATGAGTTGATGATTGCACCAGCATGCCGCACTATTATCTGTCATGCCATTTTCTGTTTGCCTGTATCATGAAACTTATAATTCTTTAAGAGGATACTGTCTTTTATGTAAATGTGAAATATGGATCAAATCTATCTTAAAAAACATCCCAATTGAAATCTCTACAAATGTGGCAAGTTTGTGACAAAACTAATTTGCTAATCTGTGCAGTTCATTTCAGTTTAATATTTTTTTTTATTTCAATTTATATCATTATTTTACTGATGTCTTATTCTTGGGATTCTCCCAAAATTTTATCAACCTCCACTGGAAATGAAAACGCATTAGATTTGGCGTGTTTCTATTTTATCCTTAATATCTCCTAAAATAGGTACTATAGTTTGCTACCGTCAATTTTAGGGCTAATCACGAAAGTAAAGCTATTTTTGCCATGTTTGAGTATGATGAATCTGTTTATCCTAGAGCAACAAAAAACTCTGGCATGGATAAAACATCAGGATTATTAGTTAAATCTTAGTGGTACCACATTAATAGTATTATCCTGTGATTTGTCATATGCATGCATGGAAGGGATCCAATTAGGCATCATCTTCCTTGTTTTTGGTAAAAATATCAGGGGTAGATCTGGTATCAAATTACTAGAGGAGCCAAACTATGAATTATTAAGTGCCTTTGAAGTTAAAAAGAAAGAAAGAAAGAGTATTTTGAGGGGGCTGACTTGATGAAATAAATACAGGGGAGTCTGAGGTTTGAAAATCTTGAGGTCCCTGAAAGCAGCATAGTTTCGGCACAAAAAAGATGGCATCGTTCTATTTTTAAGTAAAATGTACTTCAATGTTTCTTATAGAATCAATACTGGTTCAATTAAATTTTGCAGTGCATCAACAACTATATGTGTTCAATTAGTTCCCTTAAGAATCAAGCTTAGATTTGTTTGTCTACCATTCCGTGCACTGTTGTATATAGGTTATCAAGAGGACTAATCCAAAATTAGTGGAGTTGGAAGCTTTAGGGATTTGTGAGAAGACACGGCTTGGCTGGAGAAGAGATTAGATTAATAGATCAAATGCCAGTGAACTTTCATTGAAAATAAGAGCAGAGAAATTTGTTTATGGTTTCGAGATGTACAGTGTAGAGAATGGAGGTTTTTTAACCGCTTTGTCTCGAGAGACATATGAGTGTGGGGATACAAATCATTAAATTAAAGGTGCAGGAGAGTAAAAGAATACAAGTAGGAAAGGACCTTGGTCTAAATAATAAGTAAAGATCTTCTCGCTAAAGGTTAGGAGTCTAGAAGATAGGGGTGTGGTTAATGATACTGAATGGAGAAAGAAACGTTTAAAGGATCCTAAATAACTTTTATCAATTAGTTATGCAGGTTGAATTCAGACATTGCTGCTGCTTCTACTAGTTGCTTGTTTGTATTCCTTATAGAGCTCCAAGAAACTAATTGGATTCAGCATCTGTTTCTTGTAGGAAAAGACACAAGCTGAGATTAGAAAACTCAGGAAGACTCTTAACTTTAAAGCGACGCCTATGCCTTCCTTTTATCGCACAGCTGCTGCTTCACATTCAGACGGGAATAAGGTAAATGGAAATTGTAATGACATATAATTCTATTCCTGGATTGTATAGGCTGTCATATATCTCATTCGTTGACTGGATTTTGTGTCTTGGCTTGTTATTCTCTGGTAAATCTACTTATAGGCTTGTGAGTGTTTGTGGTCATTCGTTGTCGCAGAAATTAAGGCTTAATTTTCCCTTGACATAACTTATTGAATGAAAATAGTTGAACATATACAACAAAGGAGACAACAAATCCCGACACTGAAATCCCCCAGTAGAAGATAATGATAAGGCGTAAGTGATAAGATATTTGAAAAACTTGTATTATCTAGGACTTCTATCTTAAATAAAATATTTAAAATAATCTTATAATAATAAAAAACATATTAAAGTTTAGAATATAATTACCTTAAAACAAGATGAACCTAAGATGATAGCATCTTCTATAATAAAATTAATATTAAAATATACTAAATTTACATGTGTTGTAAAACATGTCTTCACGTTTCCCAACAGTTGTTTTGTTAGTAATTTGCAATTGGACGATGATTCTGATATGGGAGATATGCAAATGGGGATTTTACACGAGTATGTGAAATGTATGGATGAGTGGCTTCTGGCCGACCTTTTTTGCAAGCTAACTACTTAAAACATGTTAGGAAATAGGAATGTTTTATGGGCATCATCTCAAGTTCAAATAAATTTATTTTACTGGGTTCACCGATCATAATTAATATATTCAGCTTGATTCATTAAACATGTGACAGATGTTTGATGAACATTGATTTAAGTCCAAACATCTGATTTATGCCATGGTTTATGAGCTATGAGAAATGGTGGTGTCAAAACCACGGCATGAATGCTTTAAATTCCCAACCTATTGGCTCAAGCATAGGACCTACTAGTTGGTTCAGTCTTTTTGCTGGCTAAATTCCTTGTTATTTTTTTGTATGTGTGTCCAATTGTAGCATTTTCCCCCTCTGCTTTCCCTATTTGAGTCCAACTACCTTAACATTTGGTTCTCCTTTCTGAACATCAGGATGTAACAGATAACAACAAAAGTAGGAACAAGAAAGTACAGAATAAACCAAAATGTGCAGGGAGCATATCAGGCGCAGCAATTTCTTCAAATTTGAAGACTAGAATCAGAAATGATCAAGCTGCTGATGAATCTGTAACATCAACCAAGCCACATAGTATCGCATCCTCTGAGGCTAGTGTGACCTCTTCAACTCCTCCAACCAACCAAAGCCGCCTTCTTGATTCGAAGCAAATGGCTGGGTTTCCAGATGGAAGGAACGAGCAAAGGCTGGGTGGCAAAACCAGAGTTTCATTAGAGGGCAGCTTTAAGGAGGCAAGAAGGCCACACAGTAGAGAGAAGCGAACTGGGCAAACTCCAAAACAGAGCATTGAAACAAGGAAGAATAGTGTGAAGAGTATAGCTGTTAGAAGCAGTTCAAGAATTGGTAGTCTCACTGTACCTGTGGCTTCCTGAAAACTTTCTTCTCTTCATCTTCAAACTGATCTTCTGCTTTCTCCAGGACTGCTATTATCTTAGCTTTTCGCCCCACAAAATACAGTGTAATGATTGCACCATAGGTTATTTTATAATGTTAAAGTTACTAATAAGTCAATGATTGCAGCATGCATGCAAGTAGGCAGTAGCTTTGGTAAATAATGGGCATGCTCATTATTGATGTTCTTTGCTATATTATCTCTCCGGACAACCCTCTATGTCAAAATTGGAATTGTCCTTAATTTATACATCAGAAAATGAAAGGGACTTATTGAAGATTTTTTTTTTTTTTGGGGTGAAGAACATTGAAGATTTGATTCGTAAATTTTATGGCATGTCCTATTCTTGAATTTATCTTTCTTTGAACCGTATCTCTATTGTTAGAAATTGATAAATGCCAATAAAAATTGGTTTAATTAGTAAAAGTATGATTATTATGATTTATACCTTGTCAATACATAATGTTAAATATTATTACTGATATGAGGACATAATTAGTATGAAATTTAGGGAAATTAACACTTAGGTTCTAAAAAAGAAAATTTAATAACAATTAGATTTTAAAAAATTTTGCTAAAAGTTGAGCTGCAAATATTGCTTTGCAAATGAGAGTTTTCATTTGCAAATAGTTGTTAGCGGCATGCAAAATTTGAATACCTAATCAGTAACTGAAACTTTTATATTTGCAGTCATTTGAATTCGAACTAATCTTTTAGCAAAACTATTTTATAGCCGTGATCAAAATCATCATTTGGGATCCAAGAGTCGTTCGCCTTAAAATCTATAAATATCTGTGTTTCAATTTATATTTACTTTTGTACTATGTGAAGTTTGCTACAATTTTGATGAGCTCCTCATCATCACTTTTTGTTTATATAATTATCTTTGCTACAATGTGATAGCGTTACATTGCCTAAGTGTAAATGGACTATAAACGATATAAAAAGTCCCATATCAAATAAAATTAAATTTAATAATTAATATAAAATAAAAAATATTTATAAAATTGAGTCTTGAAGTTTTTTTTTGGATATAAATCATCCACTATCCTGGAGTATCCTGAATTTATTGCCCGTCCCAAACGAATCTGAACCCCCATAAGAAGACCTTACGGTAGTAACGAGGTACTAATGAGATGACCTTTTTGAAATCATGTTAATTATTGTATCTGTCACCCCTCAAAGTTCAAACCTTTGCCCCAAAGAATGTCGATAGTAGCCCTTGCCAACTCTACCAAACCCCCATTGGTGCCTTGAAGTTAAAACATAACATTTTTTTTACTGCTCTTGCCTGTCTCTTCTATCCCCCCATTCCTAAGTGGGCTAGGTTTCAAAATCAATTATAAATCTAAAATTATAACTTTCATAAAAATATCCAAATATTTCTACATATAATAAAATCAATTATGAATCAACACCACAATATATCTTAGCATATTTTGATGTTCACGGGGCAAAGACATGCTAATTTCCCGCCGTTGTATATCTTGGCATGGTGCAAATATTTTATCAGAAGACGCCCCGAAGTAAGAAATGAAAGCCAGGTAAGGAAACCAAACAAGTTAAATTGAGACAAGTATACATCAGTACACCAACTTTGGTTGTTGGGGTTGCTGAAATGTCGATCATGTGCTTTGCAGAGTTTGAGATGAGACACGTTACTCCTGATTTATAGAGCACCTTCCTAAAATTCGATATTATTTTTCATGAGTGAAATTAAGCTTGCGTTCAGCATCTTTGATGATAATAGCTGGACTTGCTGCGTTACTGCTATTAAAATGATTTTGAAGCAATCCACCAACCATATTGTACAAATACATCATCCATAAACCAGGTTCCCAAAAAAAATAAAAAATAAAAAAAGACATCCATAAACACAGTATTATAAGCAATACATGAGCCATTCAACACCTAGCGTTATCAACAATACATGAGGCGTTAACCATGAACATAGCCAACAAATGCTTTCCTAAGTTCTCTTTCAGAAGCAATGAGTCAAGGGTATACATAACACGTGATTGAAGGGTCCAACATAAAGCAGAGCCAGTGATTAACAAACAGCACAATGGCAAAAGTATGCACATGTTTAGGTTATCAACCATAACATGATGCATCGTATGTTTAGGTTTGCAATCTGCAATGTTATAACCAACTGTGATTGATATAATTTTATCGAGAGCATCTCCACCTTGAAATGTCTCTGGCATTGTACAATTCTTTTCTGATCTCATGGTTACCTCACACGCACGATGGTGGAATGCATTCCCAGAAACATGTTAAATTGTGAATGACCCTTGCTCACAAGTATGATAAATACTACCTTTTTTTTTAACCTGTGAGAAAAAGAAAACAGTCGATGGTTTTTTTTCACGGCTAGTCCATTCGAAGAATCCATAGTTTATCCTTCGACAAGTTCCAAACAGAGAGTCAAAAATAATGGCAGCCGAAGACAAGAAGGGCTTAGAACTGAAATAGCAAACAAAATCAACCAGGACACACTCATCCCATCCTTGCCAGTCGACTAAGCTATCATCCAATATCAAGTGGCCAGAAAAGTCACAATTCAATATACAGAAAATGAGAAAAGTCAGACGTCACCATGAAGAAAGAGCACAAGAACAGACAGAAGTATTAACGAAATTTTCAGGGATTACAAAATACTTTTGGCATCTTTTTTCTATACAGCCATCTGGAAGCCGGTACTGCCTTGAGTATGTAATTCATTGAAGAACATTTCTGGCTTCAAGATTTTCAACACAGCTGTTTTCCTAGATCCTAACCACATTAGTGCCATCAGTTAAACAAAAAAAGAATGGAAGATTCATAGCACGTTTAAGTTCACCGAAACACAAGTGCGAAACTTAAGTAGAGACGTATTATCTTTTTCACTGAACAAGAATCAGAACCTGGAATTCCACCAAAAACATTAACATGTGCTAGACAAAAGGGCAGAAAAGATTGTTAAAGGAAAAATAAATGGCTAATTTCTTTAACCAAGCAGTTAACAGATATCAAACAATGAGGCCGAACAACTCCATTTTATCATGATACTAATTAAACAGGAAATAAAGAACCCGTCCTCTTTAAACTGATGAACCCTCCTCCTCAATCAAAAGAAAGTTTGGATGAAATAAAAGATTAATATATAGCCATAACTATTTGTCAACAGCTTCCAAACTTAACAGCATTAACCAACAAGTTGCGACAATTTCCCCACTTCGTTAATACTTTGCTACCTTCTATCATTGGTGCAAATAGAGAGGGCATCAGTAGATAAATTGTCACATATGAACTTACCTGAAGTTCAGAGATCAAGTGTAAAGCCA